CTTGTTTAGCATTCGGGAGTCGCCCTGTTAGCAAAACCAAAATCTCATAACACCACCATTCGAGGCAAGTTGTAAGGCAACATGGTCCACATAGTTTGATTAATCTGATCCAATCAAGAATCCCTTGTTCCCACCACCCTCCTTCATTCCACTTTCCGCCCTTTCTGTTCTCTGATATCACAACATAAATAACCAAAAGAATCATGATCAATAAATCTGTTATCCAATACGCCATTGAAACTCCTTCTAGCCCCTTATTCATCGAAAGTAGCACGTTTATAGGTATATGCAGAGCAACCCCTAAAGCAGAGGTTAACATAATTGGGATTGTAACATTTTGTGTGCTCAAATAAGCTTTCAATGGACACAAAAAAGATGTGATCACCAAATCAGGGAGAAGATAAACAAGATACTTTTTAGCTACCATTGAAATCTCTTCTTGCTGGCCAAACTTAATGAGGATCTTGTCAACATTAAGCCACAAGAAAGAAATAGGAATTGAGACAACTAGTAACAAAGAAACAAACATGACAAGGGTCTTATGAAGTAACTTAAAATTCTTGGCTCCAAAGGCTTGTCCACAAATAGGCTCCATAGCACCACTAAGTCCATTCAAGACTGAGAATCCAGTAACATTCGCGAACGTAAAACCAAGCGTTGCTCCAGCTAAAGAAAGCTCACCAAGCCTACCGAGGAACGCAGTTGTGATGGCTATTTTTGCAAACCATGTGAAGTTCATAGCCATCAGAGGGAGTACTATTCCCCCTTGCAATTTCATTTCTAAAAGGGCATTTTGTATGATTTTTTCTGGCCATTTTTTGGTCATTGATTCAGGCATAGTAATGGTAGTATTTGCAATATTAGTGATGTTACACAAGAATGGTTAGTTTTTTAAAGAGCATAAGTTTTGTGGAGGAGTTGGTGATATTAAAAAAATGGATTTTCTTGTAACTGCCAATTGAAGAAAGAAAGCCAATTAAAAGAGGGAAATCTTGGTGGGGAATTTATAGTGCATGATGAGAATGCAAAGGCAAATCAAAAAGGGGTATTGCTAAAAAGAAGAAAATAACACATGGCTCACAAATCTTTATGAAAGACCAACTGTTTTTTCTCGCGTTGTGTTTGCTGAGTGGAAAATGATTTCGAAAAAGATTATATATACTAAAGATTAATAATAATTGCAAATCAGATAGTGTTTTGATTAATATTTTTATTTTGATTAATCCAGGACAACATCTTGAACATGAATAATATAATATGGGGCCTAACATTGGGTAAATTAAAAAATTGAAATGAATCTAATTCTACCATCATATTTTAAAAAAATGGACCTCAAGGTTGACAATTGTCAATCATATCCAATTTTCTATCCCAGAACCGTTGTGGGACTTCATCAAAAACAAAATGGTATTCCCTGTCCTAAAATTTCTTTAGAATTTTCATGATACCATTGAAGGGAGAAACTCCCACATCGACGAAAAAGAGGTTCTGGGCCTTATTACAAGACTTGGATAATCTTCCTCTCTTATAGCTAGTTTTGGAGTGTGAGTTAGGCTAAATGTCTAATTTAATATGGTATCAGAGTCAGATTCAATATGAGCCAAATTTGTTGCCAGTTTCAATGCACATGCAAATATGCATGGCTGTGACATTTTTGCTCAATCACATCATATCTATCTATACTTCAATTGTCATGCTAATAAATATCAAATAGTTGACTCATGAGGTTGATATTATGATCATGCTCTATTCAACCTCTAATCCTCTCTATATTATTAAGTGATGATATGTTAATTAACCCGAATGCATTTGTATCTCCCGTCCTAGAGCCAAGTAGAGCAAACTAGGTATAATTTCCACCCTAACCGCAAATTCTCTCGGGAAAAGAAGTAATCTTCTGCCCCCTTTGTTCTGTGCTCCAAATTATCGATCGACTCCTTATAAAACTTGGACAATCCTCTTGCCTTTGAGCCTAATTTAACAATCACATGATGACCAATTGTAGAAATGGAGAATAAAGTGGGACAGGATTTCAATTTGAAATTATAGGTGATCGGTGCAGATAAATTCTCACATGTTTTCTTAAAGAATCAATGGTACTGTAACCAAAAAATTCAATTATCACATGAAACATGTACATATTAAATACATAGCTCAAGGAAGTAGGCTTAAACAAAGAAAAAGAGTGAAGAGAATAAGGTAAGTTAAAGAGGTTTGGCACCATACCACTATCTTAATTATGAAAAGAAGGTATCAAATTGGGGTACTTGTTGTATACTTCCTCCGTTTCAAAATAAGTGAACTGTTGAAATATGTCACTCTTCAAGAAAAGAATATTAAGACATTAATTAGTCATTACTTTCCATTTTTACGCTTTTTAATTATTGTCAAATTACTATGTAGTCTGTAGAAAGACCAAACATTGATCATGATAATTACTCCCAAGTAATTTAAAACAATTAAAGTTTTTTGAACTCATCACATAGGAAATCCAAATAAAAGGTAAAAATGGAAGAAAATTTAAAAATTATTCCTGAAGATTGAACAATTAAGTTAAGGAATAATTTGAACTATGAAAAATGTCTCAACAATTCACTTATTTTGAAAACATGGTTTGGGATTCCAAATCGTGATTTTAATTTATTTTTTTAAAATATTAAATTTGACCCATAAGTTTATATTTTGTAAAAAAAGATTCATTATTTTAAATTTTGAAGAAAAAAAAAAGACTCATGTTCAGTGTCAAGAAATTTTGAAAAAGATTATACTATGTATTAAAGAACAACTGGTTACAACTATTATTGATTGATCTTTATAAAATTATGTGTATTTAAAAGTTTGTAATCACAAAAATTTATTATAAAAGAAACATTAATATAGGTGATTTATCAATCAACATATCTTAGTATATTCCAATATTTTGTTTATATAAAAATCTGAGAAATTTTGATAGCTTTAATAACTTTTAGAATTTTTATGTTTATGAGAAAAAACAACTTAAAAAAATAATTCAAACTACATATTCAAATCAATCTGATATCAGATTATGATTTCATATCGCATGTCCAAACGACCCCAAATCTAGCCAGTATATATATTCTTAAGCAAATGACCACTTCCCAAACTCCATTAATACAAACAAACTAAAAATATGCACTCTATGTATAGGTATATTATATTTATATTACCATATATTTCTAGAAAAAGAGTATAATTAAAAATTCACAATCATTCAACATTCTTCATACTTTATGAGCGGATAGATTAAACTAACAAAAACACATTTCTATCACGAAGAATCAGAGATGTTGCAATAATAACTGTATGAAATCATGATCAATTATTCTCTAACCTAATCTTAATAATTAGGACATATTATTTGTCAAAAAGTGGCAATACTTTAGTTGTGAGTGTAAAATGTAAACCAATAATATTTCAGCTGGTATAGTGCGTTGTTTAATGCTTATATCTTATGCACACTAATCTTGATTATTTAATAACTTTAAAAGATGTATCCCTCTTAATCCTTGTTTTATGCTTTATTATTATATATATATATTATATGTGGATTAATGGAAGATCTATTGATAATTGAGAATAACTTAAAGGACATCCCAACTGCAAATTGGGTGGAAATTCCTGATAACAAATAAATGTAACTAAAGAAAAGATTTTATTCGAATGGATCAAAAATGGAATTTCAAGTCATAGAATCAAGAATGGATCAAGTAGAATTTTTAAGAAAGAAACGCTAAAACTCGATCGACCCTGTTGCCTCAAGTCTAATATTAATGCAATATACAATGCACCACCTGATAATTCAAGAAAACAAGCTTCTTGTCCGGTCTCCATATCTTCAAGGCAATTTCATAGCCCAAAACCGTTTGTGGATACTATGGTAAACAGTTATATGTGGTGTATCATCAAGCCAACAAAATACTGCATCGACAACGCTATGATGGTGATTTCAGATAGGTAGAATGTAACAATCCAAGAGGTACATCAAGAATAATATTATTAGCGGTTGTCTCAGAAGAGAAACTTTCAATTGTTATAGTGAATTGTTTAATATTATATCTTTGTATCATCTTGTATATTGGGGGTATAATATTGTATATCAAGTTTTTAAATATTTTTCTAAAAAATAAAATGAAAGTCTTATATATTACTTATTGTTTACTGAATATATATTATTGTATATACCAGATTGTGTTTTGAACTAAACATATATATAATGTAAATTTTAGGCTATATTTTACAATGTAAACTTGGTAATTGTACTTCTTAAATTTTTTTCCAAAAATGATTGGATGATCTGAGTAACTTTTTGAGTAAAGTAACAAAAGGTGCCTTTTCAATAAGTAATAAAAAAGTTGAATGATTTTTGGGTGAAATAACAAAAGTCAAGCTTTTCTATTTTATTTTTTTATTACAAGCTTTTCTTTAAAAAACTAACTTTCTCAATTATTTCCGATAGCTTGTTAATATAGTGATGGAATTAAAATTTTCATTATAAGAGATTCAAAATATGAAAAAAAATAAATCTAGAAGAAATCAATGTGAATTTTAGTATTTTACTATATATACATAAAAATAATTTTAACCATATATAAAAATTTCGCGCAGATTCACATGAACTCAATCCTATCTGTCACCGGCCCTTGGGTCACGTGTGGAGTAGTAGCAGAAACTCCCATGCTCCACAGGGAAGAGTTAAGGTCCCCATTTCACCTTGATGATTTGTCTGAATATGACTGTCTTTTCTCTTTACTCTCTAGGCACACAGCTGTATGGTTGTTGCTCCCATTTATTTGTTATCCATTTTTATGTACTCAAATCTTAAATACTCCAATATCATTTACTCTATTAGCCCCTCCACCACATCTTTTTTTCTTTTACAATTTGGTAAAGCTTTATGCTTGTGATTTTTCCTCCTAAATATCCTAATGACAACTACATTTCTTTAGAAAAAATCCACATTTGTGAATATGGAGGTGCATTCAAGATTGTTGCAATCTCTTCCTCTCTTGCTATAACAAATAAAAAAAATCAAGAATGTAAAGGGGATGGAATTTTTTTTTCTTTCAAAATTGCACTTCATCAAGAGAAATTTCCAACACCCTTTTTAGATCTGATGTTTCTTGTTGCATTTTTTCAGATTATCCTTTTTCTAACAGCATCCAATGCAGAATTTTCATCAAGGCTGCTTGATTCAGTTCTTCAAGATTATGCTTTTAGGGCATTTGTTAGGCCAAGAACTGGGATTCCTTATGATGGGAATGTGCCTTTTAATTACACTGGAATCAAAGTTTCTGCACTGAGGTTAAGAAGTGGGAGTATGAGGAGAAGGGGTGTTAGTAGATACAAAGAATTTCAAATCCCAATTGGTGTTTTGGAGCAACCTTATGTAGAGAGGCTTATTTTGGTGTATCACAATTTAGCCAATTGGTCTGATTTGTATTACCCTTTACCAGGTCATATTCATTTAACACCAGTTTTGGGTATTTTAACTTATGATGCTTCAAATTTATCTGCTACTAATTTGCCTGAGTTGGATATCAGAGCTTCAAAGAATCCCATTTTGGTTAATTTTTCTAGTGTAGTGAGGCCGGTGCCAATGGGGTTGTCACCTAAGTGTGTCTGCTTCAACTTGGATGGTGCAGTGGAGTTTGACAATATATTGAATGGGAATGTGTGTAAGACGACGAAACAAGGACATTTCTCTATAGTGGTTGAGTTTACTACTGCTGCTGAGCCAGAACCTGAACCTGAACCCGAACCCGCCAGTGGAGGTGGCACAAATGGTCATAAAAGTGGTGGTAGGAAAAATTGGGTGATATTTGGATCAGTTGTTGGTGGATTTGTGGCATTGGTTTTCTTGGTTTTATTGATTGCTTGTTTGAACAAGTATGATAAGAAGAAAAAGATTGACAGAATGGAAGAAGCAGCTGATAGAGGTGTACCATTGCTTATGACAAAAATTGGGAATACAAAGGCACCAATAGCTTCAGAGACTCGTACAAGACCCTCGTTAGAGAATGAATATCTCCCATAGATTTGATTCTTTTTTTAAAAAGTATTTTATCTGGTAATCCAATGATTTTTTTGCGATATTTTATTCAATTCATTCCCTTCCATTCTGTTGTACATTCTATTTTACGTTGTGTTATCATCTTGATGAATATTGCATTTGCCATCACACAATTGTAAATTGATCAAGTTTTTAATTTCTAGAAGTATAAGTTACCAAACTTGGTCTTGAAGTTCCAATTTTCAACATTTTCCTTTAAGAAAAAGGAAGTGACCTTCCTTCAACCGAAAATAAAGAACCAAACAAAATAAATACAGTAACTAATTAATTAAGGCTCCCAAACAGCCTAGCACAATTAATCTAGATGCTGACTTTTATCCAGCTGTGGCCTAAGTAGTTATCTCCCACTTATTCTTTCTTGAGATCTGCAGCTATATTGTAGCTAACATCCATTTTCTTTCGCGCCCCCTCCTGAATCTTATCCATTACGTCAACCCTTCTTCAACGATCAGAAGGGATTGCGGAATTCCCCTTCTTAAGCAGACTGATGCATTCATCAAGTTATTTCTACATAATTATCTGGTTTCTAATTCCATTTCTGTTTGGATCTGGATCATCTAGTTCAGATTCATCCGCACAAAGCTCACTTGATTCCTTACTTCAGCAATATGCTTTCAGGGAATTGGCAGGGAAAAGAACCAGAAATGGTGTTCCTTACGACGCGTATGTTCCTTCCAGTTTGACAGGGGTTAAAGTTTCAGCCATGATTCTTAAAACACACAGCTTAAAACGGAAAGTCTGTGGCTATTATAAAAATTTCTTCATCCCATCCGGGATCATAGAGGAGCCTTATGTAAAGAAACTTGTTCTGGTTTACCAAAACTTGGCTAATTGGTCATCCTTTTATTATCCTTTGCCTGGTTACACTTATTTGGCACCAGTTTTCGGAATCTTGGCTTATGATGCACATAATTTGTATGCCAAATATCTACGAGACTTGGATATACAAGCATTGGAAGATCCTATTTCCATCAAGTTTCCTTATATGCAGCCAGCACCTGAGGGGTCTTTCCCCAAATGTGTTTACTTCTACTTGAATAATTTTGTCGAATTTGGCCATGTTAAGGATGGAAATATTTGTGAAACAAGAATGCAAGGCCATTTTTCTATAGTTGCTGAGGTGAAAGTTGCTCCAAGTCCTCCTCCTAAAGCCAATGACACTGCCCCAAGTCCTTCTCCTATTGCCAATGAAACTGCCCCAAGTCCTTCTCCTAGTGCCAATGATACTGCCCCAAGTCCTTCTCCTAGCGCCAATGATACTGCCCCAAGTCCTTCTCCTAGTGCCAATGATACTGCCCCAAGTCCTTCTCCTAGTGCCAATGAAACAGCCCCAAGTCCTTCTCCTAGTGCCAATGATAATGCCCCAAGTCCTACTCCTACACCTGATGAAGATAATCATCAAAAGATCAACTCTAAAACGTGGACGATTTCATCGGTGTTTCTATTTTTTTCTCTCACAGGAATATTGTTTGTTGTTGTAAACAAGTCTGGATTATTGGAAATAAGACAGAGATTGTATGATTCAGCAGTAGTTGTTGTGCCCTTGTTAGGGAAAACAGAGGTTCCATTGCCATTGGAAACTCCAACTAGACCATTGCCGGAGAACGACTATGTGCTTTAAGTAGCAACACCAATTTTTTTGTGGCTTGCATACTTAGGTACAACTTTCAAGAAACTTTTACCTATCAATATAATTTAATCTGTTATAACAAGTTAGTATATATTCTATTTTCTAGGTTACTAGATTGCATGTGTTATAAGTAATCTGTTGTTGTAGGTAGCTTAACTTGATAGTGTAAAAAGTGTATATATGGCCACTATGTCAACAGACACAACTTGAATTTTATATACATTAGGTTATAAAATGGGGTGTGACTGCATAATATATATCAATTCTAAAGTACAATTTCGTTATCTGTTAGCTTGATCGTGTGTTTGAGTTAAATTTAGTTTGCAATACATTGGCTCAAAAAAACATGAATGCGTACTTGTTGTGTTGTCATTCTGTTTAAGCAAATTACTTGACTTGGAGTGTTGTGATTTCCCCTCTTAATCATGATCACCTTGGAACAACTTGATCAAATTGTCTTATCAAGAAATGTACTGATCAACAAAATCGCCTTCAATTTCTCCAATTTATCATTTATACATTTTTGTAGCTCTTTGCAATCAACACCACATCTTTGAAAATCATGTGACACAACGAAGTAAAATAAATAGGCCATTTTTCGACAGAGAACCTTGCATTTGCATCTTCTTGTAGCATGTTGCATTAAAAGGAAGAAACCAAAAATCAGGCTCTAAAATATTTGCAGGTTCATAATATGAGATTTTAATTTCCTCTGTTTTCTGATTAAACCCTGCAGTTCTTGCTGGTTTTTTAGCACTATTTGAGAATATCCAATGTGCAATACAATTGATTCCAAGCAAGATTAGCTGCTCGTTTCGGGTTCAGTTAAAACTATACCACAACGAAACAAGACAATACAATCAAAGTTTATGTTAGTCTTATACTGCAGGGCCATAGTTTTTTCGTCTTAAGATCATCACGGATCCTAATATTAACACTATCGTGTTTAACTCCACTAAAATAGGAAGAGTTGTGTATCTACCACAATATCAGTTTCGTTATATTCTCAAACCTAACTGCAATCGCAAAGTTCATCAAGATGGCAACGTTACATGTTTTGATTCAGCATAGCGGAGAATCGGAGGTATGCAACAGGTTTGTGGATTATATCCAGGGGCGGCAGGCAAGGCTTGTAAAAAAGTCCTTGGCCTTAGGCCCCCAATTTTAGGGGCCCTCATTTTTTAGTTAATTAGGTAGGATTAAATTAAAAATATATATATTAGAACTAAGACAATAAATGCAATGGCCCCATTTTTTAGTTAATTAGGAAAGATTAAATTTTTTTTTAAAAAAATTGTTAGAGCTAAGTCAATAAGTCTAAACGGCTAAATGAAGTGATAGTCATAGATATGACTATGACTTTTTAACTTTCCCATAAAAAATTGAAAAGTTGTGTACTTTTTTTTCAACTTACAAGTTATCTTCTTTTTTTACCTTATTTTTTTTCTAATTTTATTTTTATATATTCTATCCTCCTCCCTTCTATTTCTTCTCACTTTCTCTTTTCTAATCTTACATCTCTCTCTTATTCAAAGCTAAAAAAAATTTACTTGTTCTATTGATAATTTATATTTTAAATTTGGAGAAAATTATATTGCAGCAACCCGATTCATTTTCGGAAATCAAGTCTTCATAGCTTTTGAATTTGGTAATATCATTCTAATTTCTAATATTATTTTTGTTTTGTGTCTTATGTTTATTATATTTTTTATTTGATATTGTAAATAGTGTTTAAAATATTTGTTAGATTTTAATATGTCAACTAGAAAATATGAATCCGGTCATTCAAAACTTAAAAGAAAAAGAAAAGTCGATAACTTGATAAAATCTCAAAAAGGTGCTCTTGATAAATTTTTGGAAAACAATGATAAAATTAAATCAAAAAAGGTAGGGGAATGCTCTTTAGAAGAACAAGTTACAAACTTAGTTGAAGTTGAGTTAGATAATGATATAAACCAAAAAGAAGAAGAAGGAGAGGAAGTTAGTGAAAAGTCGGATGTAGATTCCCAAGAAAATCAAGAACTCATAAATGAATTAAATAATCATACTCCTAAAAATATCTATGATCCTAGTCAATGGAATATTGTTGATACAAAGTTAAGAGACTTTTTAGTAGAAAAGGGACCAATTAGAATTACCGACACATGTTTTCCAAAGGATAAATTTTTAAGGCACTTTTCTACTACATATTATTTTCAAAAGTTGGCAAATGGAGAAAGACATGAAAGAAGATGGTTAGTTTATTCCAAAGATTTGAATAAGGTATTTTGTTTTTGTTGTAAGTTATTTAATACGACCTTTAATGCAAAGAATAATAAGTTAGCTAATGAAGGTAGTAGAGATTGGAAAAATCTTACTACTAAGCTTAGAACCCATGAAACAACTAGCCAACATATTATTAATATGAGTTCATGGATTGATTTAGAATTTAGATTGCGTAATAATAAAACAATCGATAAAAACATTCAAGACCAAATTAATAGAGATAGAGAACATTGGAAAAATGTATTGTCAGGAATTATTTCCGTCATAAAAACTTTTGGAAGAAATAATTTGGCATTTAGGGGGAAAAATGAAAAAATCTATCAAGAAAATAACGGAAATTTCTTGAGTCTTATTGAAATGATTGCAGAATTTGATCCAATTATGCAAAAACATATTCGACGAATCAAACATGATGAAATTCATAATCATTATCTTGGACATAATATACAAAATGAATTAATAAATTTATTGGCAAGTGAAATTAAGAACAAGATTATTGAAAAAGTTATAAAAACAAAGTATTTCTCTATCATACTTGATTGCACGCCAGATACAAGTCATCAAGACCAAATGTCTTTTATAATACGGAGTGTAGATATTTCGAAAACTCCAATAAATGTAACCGAATATTTCTTATAATTCTTAAAAGTGGATGATACAAGTGGAAAAGGTCTTTTTGAAGTTATTTTAGATGAAATAAAATGTATTGGACTTGATATTGATAATTTAAGAGGACAAGGATATGATAATGGGTCTAATATGAAGGGAAAACACCAAGGAGTGCAAAAAGACTTCTTGATATAAATCCTAGATCATTTTATACACCATGTGGTTGTCATAATCTAAATTTGGTACTTTGTGATATGGTTAATTCTTGTACGAAAGCTATATCATTCTTTGGAGTGGTACAACGTATATATTCACTATTTTCTTCGTCTACTAAGCGGTGGAAAATTTTAAAAGATAGTGTACCTAGTTTAACTCTTAAATCATTGTCACAAACACGGTGGGAAAGTCGTATTGAAAGTGTTAAAGCAATAAGATTTCAAACTCCACAAATAAGAGATGCTTTATTTAAATTAGAA